GGGGGGGGGGAGAGGTAAGGCCAAGAGGTGGCTTCCTAAAGGGATTTCAAATGTTAAAGAAGATTCACAGATCACTGGAGGCCTGGCTGTTATCAAGGGAAGGTTGTTTTCCCTCTAGCAAAGCATTAACATTAAGACAGTAGGGAGTTCCTGGAGTTGAGGCTATTGATGGGATTACCCTGTTCCTGTAATTGACCAAGATATTTGTAAACCAATGGAGACTGGGGTCCTGTGATCTCTATCAGTTTAATCTTTGGTTTCTGTCCTTTACTTTGTTCTTTGGCAGCCCGGAATGCCTGAGGAGTGTCACACACCTCCCACTTGTGGAGGGCGGGTGTGTGTGTGTGTGTGTGTGTGTGTGTGTGTGTGACAGGGAGGGGAGGGTCTTAGTTGGTGCTTAGCCCTCAGCTTACGCTCCCTCATCGTCTCTGTTCAGACACGTACTGCATTTCTTTGGGCACTGAGCACATCTCTGTTCAGGCTAGCTCACCACATGGCTTGGTTTTCCACCCCACCCCACCCCATTTATGTATTTACTTACTTCAGTAGTCCAATCTCAGCAGACGTGGCAGCTTGGGACACTTCCTGATCCAGCCATGTTGCCTGTTTTCTCACGGGACTCTGGCTTCACAACACTAATGTCTCTACTACCAGATTCCCATTAGAATCCCATTCAAAAAGGAGGTGACTTTACAGTTTACAAAACACATTGACCACAGACTCTTCCAAGGCATACCCTGTCCTGCAAATGTATTAGCATCTCACCTAATCCACCGAAAGTTCCCTGGGGCACTGTCCCCTCTAGTTTACCCTTCCAAACTAGGGCCTGAGTGTTTGTGCAGGCATTCACACGTGGGCCTCCATCTCCATGAGCCCCCTAATCATTCCAAGACCACCACGATTTCTCTGTCACATCAGAAATTCTTGAAATGCTGTCCGGAGAGCAACATTTTACTCCAATCCAGCCAACTCTCCCTGTTTCTCGCCAGACGAGCTGCCACTGAGACGGCCGGCCTGCCCCGCGGGGCTGTGTGCAGTGAGAAGCACAGGGCCCGGCCCCGCGCTGCGCTCGCGCTCTGAGAGCCGGGGGCACAGCAGCTCTGAGGAGGACCGGATTCCTGTCCCCATCCCGGCCTGCTGGGGCCCATGGAGACCGAAAGCAATGCATTTGGTGTTGCCTGCCCTAGTTACGTTTCTCCGGCAATTTTTAATCCAGACATCATAGCTCATGCAAATTGGCCTAAGTTCAACACACCAGTGCTCAGGCTTCTCCGTGCAAGGAGTTAAAGAGGAAGGCTTACAGCCGGCGGGAGCCGGAAGCAGGTAAGGCCCCACTGAATCTGGAGTCAGGCGTGTGCAGATAGACTCATTTCTTCCTAGAAACTGCCAAATAAATGCTTAAAATCTCTTAATTTGTTGGCGATGCTTGCTTTCTCAAGAAGCCTTCAGTCAAGTTCAGGTTCAAGTTTAGTTGAGCCAAATGATTACTGACAGAAAGAATAGGGACAGAGCAATTTGAAGGCATTAAAAGTCAACCAAAAACAAGTGCAAACTCTTAGTCATAGAGAATTAAGATTGTGTGTGTGTGTGTGTGTGTGTGTGTAGGGATATTTATAAGATCATAAAGTTAGCATTAAAATGCCATTTAAAAATATGTTTAATAGATCAAGAACAACCCATTATCTGTACCTCACCACCTCCATTCCATATGTCCTATCTTATCAATTCTGCATAAGCCAGAAATCTCTCCGGAGTGGATTCTCTAAGTGGAATTCAAACTGTTTCTTTTCCATGTATCAACACATTTGTTTTTGGTTTCTCATTTCTAAGAGCTTTAAGGAAATGGAATAACAATTATTCACCCATGCTCAGAAGCACACTGAGTTCTTATTTCTGTATATTACCTATTTTTAGGCTGATGTGAGCTGGCTCTCCTTGTAGGTTGCCCTCAGCCCTTCGAGAGGAGTCAGGTGGGGTGAGCTGAGGAGGGGCAGTCCTTCTGGCTGACAATGATTGATCAGCATTAACAGCGGAAATGATAAGATCAAGGCACTCATTGTAGTTCAATAGCTTAAGCAAACTCACGTGTCAGGATCTCAGTTCTTTATTTGCCCAGTGACAGCTGCAACATTGTGCATTTAATTACAGTACACAACGAAACCAGAGAGAGAAACAGTATCTTTGACAGAGTAGTACAGGTGATGATTCTCGCCCTTCTCCCCAGAGTGGGTGGGAGCAAGAAGTTTGAATCTGCTGTTTGTGCAGTTTACACATGGCTCCCACATCGCAGACAGCTTGGCCATGTGACTACCACTTTGCTTAAAGATTCTAGTTCCCTCATTCTTTTATTCTTTTCCTTATTTGTTTTGTACACTTGCCCCTAAACGCAAACCAGCTAATTCACCTGGTGTTTAGCTGAAGAAATAATAATCCATTTTATTGCTGGGGGTAGGGGGATGGCTATGTTGGATTTGAACTTTGTACTACAGTGACTTCTGGATGATTTAAGAGGTGCTCGAGTGTCATTTTAAGTGACTTGATCATCACCTACCTGCTGGCTTTGTAATTGAAGCTTAAGTGCAACGTGACTCCCTTGCCTGCGGTTCAGAAGGATCGAGAGAGAGAGAGAGAGAGAGAGAGAGAGAGAGAGAGAGAGACTCCGTGCTATGGAGATGGAGGGACAGATGTGTAATGGGGGCAGGGGCAGGGATCTCACTGAGAAGAACTGGCATTAGGAAATGGCCGTCAAGGCCACGGGGACTCGGAATGCATGCCGGGTCCGGCCCTCTGCAGGTGGAGGGGCAGGTCTGGAGCTCAGGTGGGTGGAAGGGGGTGTGGCTGGCATGCACTTGAAGCGTGTGCAGGCTGTCAAGGGCGCTGTGTGCATTTGGACTTCATCCCGGAGACCCATTCAGCCATTAGTTCGTTCAGGTAGCAACAGGCCCCCTTCTCACAGCGGAGCTGGTGACCCTGAACCCTTTAAGGGTTTTAGTCAAGGGAGACCTGTGTGGGTTCATTGTATGTACTTGTGCACACCTGCCTGCAGCAATGGTAAGAGCCAATATCTGCCCACGGTAAAAGTATCCGGTTTCTCCTCTGCAAACATAATCCTTGTTACCTATTTCTTACCACATACAGATACTCTGTGCACACACACTACCTGTATACAAAGTATTCTTCCCTTTGCTCTTTTCAGTAATGATGTATCCAGACAGTTGATTCTAAATTACAGCTGACTCTTAAACAAGATCGAGTTTGAACTGCTCGGGTCCACTTACATGCAGAGGTTTTTCACCAAAGATAGTATAGGACTGTAATTATATTGTTTTTTCTTTATGATTTTCTGAATAACATATTCTTTCCTCTAGTTTATTGTAAGAATAGGGTGTATCGTACACCTAACATACAAAGCCTGCGTTAATCGACCGTGTGTGTTGTTTGCAAGACTTCAGCCAACAACAGGCTGTCAGGGGAGATTTGGAGGAGTCAGAGTTACACGTGGATTTTCAACTGCATTGGGGGGTGACGCCCCAAAGTCCCGTGTTGCTCAAGAGGTCAACTGTGCTTCACAGAGGCCCCCTGCATTCCTTTAATGGCAGGAGCGCTGGGGTGTATTGTACGAGCCATAATATAACCAGCCCCCCACTGACGTGCACGGAGGCCATTTCCAGTCTTTTCGGTCATTGGAACACAGCTGCAGAGCCTCTTTGTGGATGAATGTGTTTGCTCTCACATCCAAGGGTATTTTTGGAATTAATTCCTGGAAGCGGAGGTGTTTGGTCACAGAATTTGTGTGTTTTAAATATGCTAGCTGTTGTTTCATTGCACACCAAGGAGGTTGCAGCGGCTTTCCTGCTCAGAAATAACGTAGAGGAGTGTTTATTTCACAAAGCCTTGGGCAGACGTTTGAACTTTACAGATATTCTTCGTTAAAAAGATGACTGAAGTTGACCACTATTTCCTATATCTAACAACCCCGATTGAATTTCTCTTTCTCTGGACTGCAGTTTAGGTCCGGGCCTATTTTGCTATGGATTTGTCTGGTTTTTTCCCCTCTTGTTGATTTATGAGAGCTCTTTATTTATTAAGCAGATTAGCTTTTTCCCTTCTGTACATGTTGTAAATAGGCTTTTTTTTTTTTTAAGTTTTCTATTTGTCTTTTGATTTTGCTCATGCTGTTGTCGTTCAGAAAGTTTTTTTTTTTAATTGGATTTAGATTTTAGATTTATGTTATAAGGAACTGAACCAGGATGAGAAGAAAGACAGGTTTGGAAGATATTTTGGAGGTAGAATGGAAAGGCCAGGAAATGTCTTTTGAAGTCTTTATTAAGAATTGAATTTCAGGGGTGTCAGTTAGTTGGGCATCTGACTCTTGGTTTTGGCTCAGGGCATGATCTCATGGTTCATGGGTTCGAGCCCCACGTTGGGCTCTGTGCTGGTGGCGTGGAGTGGAGCCCGCTTGGGATTCTCTCTCTCCCTCTCTCTCTGCCCCCCGCCCCTGCTTGTGCGCGCGCGCTCTCTCTCTCTCTCTCTCAAAATAAGTAAACGTAAAAAAAAAAAAAAAAGAACTGAATTTTAGATACCTAAAAGCAAGTCCTGGGTGTCACCCAGAATTAAAGGACAGGAGAAAAAAAGTGGAATCAAGGAAATAAAACACGGAGCTTTCTGGAACAGCAAATGCCACTGAAAAGTGACAGTGCGGGTCTTTTGTCTCAGGGCTGCGGACACTTCCTGAATTAGCCCTTCAGCCCACTGGCCTTGGTCCTGACCATAGTCCCTGGGACCGGACTCTGGTGGGTGAATGGTTATCGCCAGTGGCTATGCGCCTGGCTCTGTGTTTTAGGAGGATCGTCTCTACAGCACAATTCAGAAAATACATTTTATTAACTCTTTGATTTAAATAATCTTTCGACTTAAGATTTTAATTGCAGCACCCGCCTGTGGCATATTTATTTTTTGCCATCGTTGTTTTCTTCCTCTGTTTATATTTGTGGATGAAGAGGCCACCTGGAGGCTGCCGGCCACGTATGTGTTCTGAAAGATGCCTTTGACTTGGAAAGCTCGTCCGAAATCGCCAAGCTCATCGAGGCCGAGAACCTGGAGGCGGCGCTGGCCCTTCACCTCTACAGAGGAGGCCGACTTCTGCAAGGTAACGTTTTTCCTTCAAAGGTGTGGACACGCGAAGAATCGCGAGAACCGGATGCACGTACAGCCCCCGACAGAACAGAGCTGGAACGGTTTAGCCCGTTTACCCGGTTCGAAACCGGCAGGAACACAATCATCTTTTGGCTTTGTTCTCCTTTGTGAGTCATTTTCTAAAATGATGTGACTGTGCCCATTGGGGACGGGTGGGTGTGGAAGCTATTATGCCGCACGCAGTTACTCCCCTGAGTGTCTCCGATGTACATCTTGTAACTCAAAGTACAATTTTCAACAGTTGAACATACACATCTTTTGCAAACACAGAAAGAGCACATATGAAAACTTTCATTCAGCTGGTTTACTAGAAAGGGGAACAGTAAGATTCTAAAGCCTGCTTAAATGGCATGTGAGGGACTGGGTATTAAGTAGGTGACTTAGTGCAGGTGTTAGAAGTAGTTTGCCAGGGGTGCCTGGGTGGCTCAGTCGGTTAAGCGTCTGACTTCGGCTCAGGTCATGATCTCACCGTTCGTGGGTTCGAGCCCCGCGTCGGGCTCTGTGCTGACTGCCAGCTCAGAGCCTGGAACCTGTTTCAGTCTGTGACTCCCTTTCTCTCTGACCCTCCCCTGCTCATGCTGTCTCTCTCACTCTCTCTCTCAGAAATAAATAAAAAACATTAAAAAAAAAAAAAAAAAGAAGTAGTTTGCCAGGTTAGCTACAGGACAGACTCACATCCAGTGGGCAGTGAAGGAAGCTTTTGGGCTGTCTTTTCTACCAGTGCATTAGTCAGGGCTCTTGAGAGGGTCAAGACTCAGGGCGCATGGAGAGGCACCTTTAAGAGGAGACTTATCATGGTGATTGGCTCGTGTGATTACAGAGGCCTGGGGGGGTGGGGGGGGGGTCATGATCCGCCCTCAGCAGGCTGGAACACCGGAACAGCCAGTGCTGCGTTTCAGTCTGAGTCTGCTGGTGTAAGTCGCTGTTGGAGCCCGAAAGCCCGAGAACGGGGAATTGGGATGTCCGGGCGGAGGGGAGGGCAGATGGGTGTCTCAGCTCAACAGAGAATTTGCCCTTCCTCCGCCTTCGTGTTCTGTCTGGGCTTCTGGCAGATTGGGTAAGGCCCGCTTGCATCAGATCGGAACGCTGGTGACTCTTCCAGAAACTCCCTCGCAGACACCCCCAGAAATAGTTTGCTCGCTGTCCGGGCGCCCCTTCGGCTCCCACGGAGCACGAACCTTCACTGCTGCACAGAAACGGTGTCCTTCTGTCCTTGACCCAAAGCTGCATAGTCTTTAATGTAACTTCATAGAGTATGAGGCTCTTTCTTAGTAAATAGTGAAGTGGAGCCACAGTCCCCTCTCTGAGAGGTGACTACTCATTGCACGGGGGACCTTTAGACACCGCTTCCCTGGGTCACTGAGAGCACGTGCACATGGTCCCTCTTTTGGGCGTGGCTACAATTTGGGGGTATTTCTTCTGAATACTCACGAGGCAACTGTGACCTCAAGTGAGAGCACAGAGACCACCACGTGAAGGCAGAACAGATCATTTCAATGTGGCTGCGCAACGCGTGCCTTTTTCTAAACGTGAATTTACTGACGCGGCCGCAGTAACACGTTTCGGGAGATTGTCATTGCGGGGCCCACACTATCCACGGGAATCCTCACTAGGATGCAGCTTTCGCCAGCCAAACGTTCCAAGCTTCTGAAAGTTCCAGAAGTGTCATTGCTAACGGTGACCTCTTGCTTCTGAACACTGTGTCCAACGTCACTTCCTGTTCTCAGGCTCTCCCTGCTGCATCCCGGCCCCACTGCACGGAGCTGGGTCCTCTCTGGATGCCCACGTCCTATCTGGGCACAGTCTACAGTGTACTCTTTGTAGGGGCTCCTGGGGGCTCCGGTAAGGGCCCGACTCTTGATTTCAGCTCAGGTTCTCATCTCCCAGTTCCCAAGATCGGGCCCCATGTCGGGCTCTCGCTGATGTTGCGGAGCCTGCCTGGGATTCTCTCTCTCTCTCTCTCTCAGAATAAATGAATAAACGTTAAAAAAAAAAAACCCACAATATACTCTGTGAAATTGAAGTTCCTATGTGCACAGGTTAAAACCTCCCTTCAGCGTAGAGCGAATGTAACAGAATGATTAGCACAAAATGTAACAGAATGATTTAGCACAAAGAGCAAATCTTTCTCCCACTTCTTAATCCACCTGTCTCATTTCTTATCCCCCGAGGCAACTAGTTACCATTTCTTGTGTGTTCTCCCGGAGCCGTGTCATCCGTCCCGTACTAGTTCTCTGTCGTCACATAACAAATCACCCCCAAAAGTGGGTGGCTGGCAGCAAGGCGCGTGCTACCAGAGTCGTGTCTGTGGGTCTGGAATTAGGAATCAGCCGTGCTGCTGGGGGTCTCCTGCCTCAAGGGCTCTGGCGAGGCTGCAGAGACTCCTTACCACGTGCCACGGCGGGGGCCGCATCGCCGGAGGCCTGGCTGGTCCCGCGTGAGCCGCGTGCAAGGCGGCCCCGTCACATGCCTGCTCGGCTCCTCACCGGCTTGCCAGCTTCTCCACGAGATGGCACTTTGGAACCTGGTTTGTCTATTATGACCCAGCCCTGGAAGCCACACGGGCTTCCACGCCCAAAAGAGGGACCATGTGCACGTGCTCTCAATGACCCAGGAAAGCGGTGTCTATTGATTAGTCACTTCTAATCATTAACCCGTGCAATGAGCTCTCTAGCTGCTGGCTACACGGGTCGGCCTTCTCGCAGGTGGGCGGGGACCCCACCGCGGGTGACCACCAGGAGCTGGCCATCTTGGAGGCTGGCCGGCACATAAGCCCACGCCCATATTTGTATATATCTCCTCCCTTAAAAAAACATGAATGAAAGCATGCTACAAATACTCTTGCCTTGTACCACCTAACAGAGCATCTGGGAGGCCCTTCCATAGCAGCACCTATATAGATGCACCCCATTCTGCCACTGCTTGAGTAGTGTTCCGTGCATGGGGCCCCCATCGTTTAGCCAGGCTGCAATTCCCGGGCAGTTAAGTTGTCCGCGGTTGTTTTCTCCTACCGACATTGCAACAAGTATCTCTACACGGACGTCTCAGCTTGTAAACCTATGAGAATATCCCCGGGCTTCCGTATTCTTGCTCCCCTGCCCGAAACCATCAGCGTGAATTGTTTTCTGCTGGCAGAGAGGACGTCCCGAAAGCAGTTCTCCTGGAGGCTCTTTTCTGCTGAACAAGGATATGGTGGTGGATTCCGTTGCAAGTGTTCTGGGACACAGAGTCCGAGGTTGATCTCAAAATCAGAAAAGAAACACAGTGTGACTTCCCTCGTAGAGGCCAACATAAAGTTCATAGCTCCCCAGGCTCCTTGGGAATCTTTACGAGGTCGTCACTGACCGTTGTGGGTGCTGTGCACTCACAGGGCTCCCAGCACTGACGTGGTGGTTCTGGTGACCGCCAGTCAGATGTATTATTGTCTATAAAATTACATCTGTGTTTCGAATGTCTCGTACACGTGCATGTGGAGCATATTTCCACAAGTGGGGTGACTCGGCCTCAGCAGGACGTATCTTAGGGCCCTTTCCGGATCAGCAGGGCGACTCCGGGTTTATTCTCCCGGCTGCAGGGTACACCCCGGAAGGACCCATCGTGTTTATTAAAATCTCTCAGGTCTCGCTCCCGCAAGTAATGCCGCAGCAGCTCTGACCACGTTTTTCCCTTCGCTGTGTGGGGACACTGGTAATACAGGTCCGTCGAATGAGCTGGTGGCCAGAGAACTGAGTATTGTTTCTTTTGGACTGACAGCGACAAACTGCCCTCCAGGAAGGTTACTCCAGTCCAGGCTTGACCAGCAGATGGGGGGACCGTTTCCCCTCCCTCTGGTCACTTCCTCGGGTTTTTCCCTCCAAACCTCAGGTTTTCTCACTTTTACCATGCCTGGCCTTTGCTTCAGAAAAATGGAGGAAATGCACAAAGTTGCCCAAGGCTGTACTCACTCTCACGCGGGGAAGGGGGAAGGAAGTCCTCTCCGAAGCCAGTTGCACAAGGGAAAGCGGTCTTACGCTGGCGTCTCCCAGAAGTCGACAAGCGAAACAGCACCCCTCTTAGCAGATTTGGTTAAACTTCTACTTGTTAAATCCCAGCTGCTGTCTTTACGGTAGGTAGTTACATGCCATCTAGTCCTCATTTACCCCCAAGGGTCATCCCTTTGAAAGTCACACTCTCCTCTGAGCGGAAAACCATAGAAAGTGTTAGAACCGCTGTGGAGATGGTGCCACACACCTGTGATTTCCACCGACCGTGTCTGGCTCCGCGTCGGCTCTGCATCGGCCCCCGGGGGCCGCCCTGTGCTGGTCGCTGGCTGTGTAGGCTTCCATTCTATGGCAGCACCGACTGTTTCTAAAACAGTCTTCTGTAGATTAAACTGTCTTTTAAAATATATAGCATTTATCGATTTTTTAAAAATTACATATAAACAGATGACTTGGAAACTTCATAAAAACACAAAGAAGGAAATCCAGCTCTTCAGATTTCACTGCCCAGACATGACTGCTGTTCTATGTGCATGTTTGGTTTTATTTATCTTGTATTTTTTTTCAAAATTGAGTTTATAAAACAAGATACATTCTTACAATATAAACTTGCAACTTAAAAAAAAGAAACATGAATTGCATCCCGTGCCGAGCACTGCGGTGGGTGCCATAAATGTCTGGCAGTCTCCTGTCTCCCTCTCTGCAGTTTGCATGTGTGTTTTATAAACTGCGATCAGTGTTTACAGCAGTGCTGTCAACAACAGCCAAAGTATGGAAGGAACCCAAATGTCCATCAACGGATGAACGGATAAAGACGATGTGTTTATATATACAGTGGAGTACTACTCGGCAACGAGCAAGAACACAATCTTGCCATTTGCAACAACGTGGATGGAAGTGGAGAATGTTAATGCTAAGTGAAAGAAGTCAGAGAAAGACAGATACTGTATTTCAGGCATGTGGAATTTGAGAAACTCAACAGATGAACATGGGGAAAGGGAAGGAAAAATAAGAAAAAAACAGAGAGGGAGACAAACCCTAAGAGACTCTTAAAATACAGAGAACAAGCTGAGGGTTCCTGGGGGCGAGGAGGTGGGGGGGATGGGCTAGATGGGTGATGGGCACTGAGGAGGGCACTTGTTGGGATGAACATGGGTATTGTACGTAAGAGATGAATTTTACTCCTGAAGCCAAGACTGCACTGTACGTTAACTAACTAGAATTTAAATTTTTAAAAAATGAATAATAAAAACTGATCCCGTGATGATTCAGAAGTCTGGTTTCCCTACCAACACGTTAGGGGTATTTCTGCGTCATTGAATGGTTGAATAGTCTTCTGCGGCATGACTGTGAACAGCCACATCTTACTTCCATTTCTCCCTCAACTGTAAGCGATGCTGTGACGAGCAGGCCTCTGCAGGACCTGGGGAGCCTGTCTCCTCTAGGGCTTCCTCGGAGCGGCCGGCAGCCTGGCTCTGTGCATTCTTGCAGCTGCCGATGCACGTTGCCAAACAGTAACTAGTCACTCGTACGCGTCTGTGCGCAGTGCATATATCTAAATAAAACCTTGACGGCATGGACAAATGGAAGTTCGCTTTTCTTTTTAAGACCAATATTTGCTGAGCGAATAATTAGGTAACCGCAATTGCTAAGACCAATATTCAAGGAATGAGAAACAGCACATTCACAATATTAATATTTATTGCAGCTACATTGCAGGTACGATGCAGTTATTTTTTAAAAATATGAATTTTAATGCTTTAAGCAATGGACCGATTACCATTTTAGCTTTGGGAATAACACACTGTATTTGGACACGTCTTCGGAAGACCTGAAGTGCAACCCTGTGCTTGTACACGGTGTTTCCTGGCCTCCTTCACATGCCTTACGTGGCACACGAGGAAGGTTTCCCAGGTGATCTGACGTTGGCAGGAAGCTGGATGAGAAGCGTTTTGATGAAGCTCTTTTCTCTGTTTCTCGTTGAGAACCTGCTTCAGGCTTGAACCTGTTGAGGAAGCAGGTGGTGCCGGGTGGATGATAAAGGAGCCGGGTTCAGGAAACTGTGATGTTTTTGTTTCCGCAGACTATTGGGAATGACACATGTCCCGCAGAGGCACTGATTTATGACACAGGACCAGTCACTTGGGTGGCCCTGAGTAAATGCGCTTGGAAATAGTTTGTATCTCACTTTTCAGGCTCAGCTCGTTTCCACAAATGCTGTTGGAAATTTTAACTTGTAGCAGGTATTGTGTTAGGAGCAAGGGCTGCAAAATTAAGAAGCCACAGTCTTGTTCTCCAGGATTTCCCAATCTACAAATCTACCCTAAAGCCGTATGATTCTTAGCCTGACATCAAAGCGGGGTGGGTTACTTCTGAGGAACTTGGAGAAGACTTTGGCGAGAAGGACATGCCTGAGGAAGGTTTTGAAGGGTCAGTAGGAGTTTGCAGACATTTATATACATCGTGCTATAGCAGAGGACTTCTAGAAGTTTTCACACATAAAGTTGGATGCATTGCTTTGCTTTCTTTTTTTTTTAATTTTTTTTTTTTTTTATTTCTAGGAGAGAGAGAGAGAGACAGCGTGAGCAGGGGAGGGTCAGGGAGAGAGGGAGTCACAGACTGAAACAGGCTCCAGGCTCCGAGCTGGCAGTCAGCACAGAGCCCGACACGGGGCTCGAACCCACGAACCGCGAGATCATGACCTAAGCGAAAGTCGGACGCTTAACCGACTAAGCCACCCAGGCGCCCCTGCTTTGCTTTCTTAACCATAGAACAAGTATTGAGAAAAAGATAGAAAAATGAATGAAATATCCCACATTCCGTTCTTCCAAGTGCTCATTTAATTCAGAGAGCTTCTGGACTTACGTATTTCCAAACTTGTTCAGCCTGAAGCCCAGTGACACTGGTATCACACAGAGTCCACACTGTGCCCGTATGTCAGATGCAGCGAGTCATTTAATCTCAGGACTAAGTCGGCCAATTATGACCTCCATTTCACAGATGAGGTGGCTGAGGTTCAGAAGAACGGAGTGACGCTTTGAGTTAGGCATTTTCCACGCTGAGGCTCAGGATTCTGAGACATGGTGGTCTGGTGTCAAAGTCTGATGCTCTTCTTACTATATTAGATTTGATCTATGAGAGCACTTGCCAGTTGGCTTCATTAACTAGCGAGGCTGATCGTTTTCATTCCGGGACGTTCTCCTAACTGTCGAGCAGCTTCTGTGGTTCCTCGGGGTGTATCTTCCAGGTGTCTACTTGTTCTGTGTTTGGAGATTTCGCGGAAGAAGACTTTCCCTGCAGTTCTCTTTCCGTCCAGTGATGGTTTTTGTTAGGGGGGTGCCACAGTCACCTCCTGCACGCTGTCACCATTTGCAAGCCCGGGGACACAGTACCACACACATATACGGCTCCCCAGCTTGCCGGGTCAGAGAGCTGAAACAGATCTCATGGGGCTGAAATCAAGACGTTGCGGGGGCTGTGTTTCTCTTCGGAGGTGCTGTGGCAACCTGCGTCCTTAGTTTCCACCTTGTGGAGGGACCTGCGCGCTCCCATCCCAAGAGCCAGCGAGGGCCAGTCTCGTCCCCTCATATGGAGGCCCTGGGAGCACCTTTACCTGCTTCTTCCACCTGTAAGGCCTCCGTGATCACACTGGCCCGCCTTGATAATCCAGGATCACCTCTCCCAGTTTAGGGTTGGCTGACTGGCACCCTTGATTTTAAATAGCTTGACCTGCCCTCCTCTGAAACACTCACAGGATCCAGAAATTAGGGACGGACATCTCTGGGGCTCATTATTCTTCCTGCCTCACACCTCCCTCCGGTCCCCAAAGATTGGTGTCCGTCCCACATGCTAACCCCCTCCCCCCCCAGCACCCCCGGAAGTCCATACCCACAGCACCTGGCCAGAGAGAAAAAAAGACAGAATGTGCCAATTTGCATGGACAGAAATAATTCTGAGGCAAATAAGAGGGAAGACGGGTCCCCTGCGACTGACACACTGAATCTCGGGAGGGATGTGGCTCGTTCACAAAACCCCAGTGGGAACACTCCAGTGAGAGCTGGTCCATTTGGTGGTTTGCCAGCCGGCGCCTCCTAAAATTTTGGGTTGACCTGTGGGGAGTCACGTGTGCTGAACACCTCACGTAGCTTGATCTGTGCACACCTGATGCCTCACACGTCTGTGCTCGCCCAGCGTCCCTTGACGCAGAGCATCACCCGCCCAGACTGCTTCACTCAGAACAGACTCGCTCCCTGGCGAGTCCTCCCTCACCTTACATGCACAGCGTCTTGGACAGTTTCGGCTCCCACAGCAGCCATGCGTCATGCTCCCTGAAGCCATGGTGGCCCCGGGGCGCCCTACATGTCCCCTCCGCCCTCCTGGCACCTGCTACTGTGATTCCAGCCCGGCTGCCTTTGAACTGCTCTTTCTCCGTCACAAATCTGGTAGTTGCAGATGAGCCCATCTCCAATAAGCTTAGCTTTGATGGATGGTGGCCAGCACTCATTTTCATTTGTTAATATTCAAAGCTTATTGATCTAAAATCATCCTGGCACCCACGGTCTGACATGATCAATCCCCGCATCATGTTTATGATAGCGATGCCGATGTGGCTCCCCAGGTGAGCCGGATAAGATGAAACAAACATCAAGCCATCCCCGAGCTTGGGTTTTCCAGTGCTTGGGGTAGGTTGTCGAGGCCTGTTTGCATAGCTACGTTCTGCTTCGTTAACTATTATGATTTTGCAGGTCATGGAATTCCTTTCGGAATCATCTTTGGTGGAACCGACCTAAATGAAGATGTAAACCACAGAGAGAAAAACAAAGTGATGGGGAGAGTCCTCGAAGAAGCCAGGTAATACCTCCGGGAACTTCACAGGGTTACACGTTTAACTCTTTGGGGCCGAGTTCACTGACACCGAAAGACTTAGGAAGGCAGTAGTTGGGGAAGTTTATGTCTTCCCGTAATAAAGCAGGGTCTGCATTTCATTTCATTTTTCTTTCTCTCACTTGGCACATTTGAATTCTGCCATGGAGAGTCACCGTAGACCAGTATGGCGTGCGGATAACTTTGACTGTGCTTAATATTGGGCCAAGCTTCTTAGAATGTCCTGCAGGCTAGAAGGCATGCCTAGCACAGCGCGCGTGGGTTCCGGCTTGGAAGCGCCCGGATCAGGGCCTGCTCTGAACCACGTGGATTTCTGAGCTACATGAGACCATCCGTGACAGGGTGGGCCTTCCCAGCGGGTCCCCAGGGCACTGTGGGCAGGAGAGTCCTTCGTCATGGGCGCTGTGCTGCAGGGTCCTGAGCCAGGACCCTGAGGTCTATGGCATCAGCTGCGGCGAGGGTCCGACGCACTCCTTGCCCCCAGTCACAGATTGGAGCTGCCCCCCCACCCCCAGCATTTTCCTTGTCTAGAAAACGACATTTGCACAGCGTAACCTGGAAGTGACCAGGAAGGATGAGTGGACTTGCGTACCTCTGTGCAGCAAACACAGAGATGATACTTAACATAGTAACGATAACAGGATACACACCCTCTACATCCCTATAAAAATTGTTTAAAAAGGCTAATGAAATCCAAAGAAGAACTGAATGGACGTGCTACCTGAAGCCAAGGGTTCTGCGCATCAGCTAGGAGGTGACGGGCAGGCTTCCCGAGTGATTCTGCAGAAGGGCTGGGACGGTCCCTCCCGGGCGCCCCTGGGCCGGAGGCAGGTGCTTCCTGACTGTGAATCACCCTGGACCCAATGTTTGCCAAGACCCCAACCTTTCGACTCTTGTAAATCCTTGAGTCATTGTACAAGAAAAAAAAATCATTTTTTTTCAATGTGGACAAACGATTCTTTAAAAAATACAACCACGTTATGGGGGCATGAGTGACACACAAAAAGCTGCACATAGTTACTGTCCACGGCCTGATGGGCTAGAAGATAAGTCCACGTCAGTGACACCATCATCACCGTCTGTACCATAAACACTTCCATCCCCTCCAGAACTTTCTTCCCCTCTTATTATTACCATGGCAAGAACACTTAACATAAAATCCACCTTCTCAACAAACGTGTCAGTTGATGTTACAGCTTCGTGAACTGTAGGCTCCAGGGCGTCTCCCGGGACCTCCTCACCCTGTACACGTGAAACTTGTGCCCCTTGACGGACACCTTCCTGTGTCCCCCTCCCTGGGCCCCGGCGTCCTCTGCCCCTCTCTCGGCTTGTCTGCGTTTGGCTGTTTTGGACACTTATGTCAGTGGGACCACACGGCGTGTCCTTCCGCGCCTGGCTTGCTTCGCCGACATAGTGTTCACCTGAGCCTAAAGCAACAGTCAGATGCTCAACCGAGTGAGTCCCCCAGACGCCCCTACATTTTCTTTATCCATTTGTCTGCCGGTGGACATTTAGGTTGCCCCCATGCCCCCAGTAAATGGCCAACCACGAAATGTCTGTGGCCCATCTCTAACCCTCTCACGGCTGAGAAGCCGTGGTCATGGAATCCAGAACTCTCTGAAGCTTTATGTCACCAGAGCATTCGTGATCCCTCACTGAGGACAGCACTCCAGGGACCATGGTGCAGCCTAAGGCAGCCCCCTCCCCTTTTTATAAGGTGGGGGTCAGTCTTGCTCCTGAAGGCTGGGGTTACAGTGCTGTATCCATCTATCTCAGACCCGTTTCTTCCTGAGAATGTCCTGGACGTGAATGAGGGGCACAACCCAGGCCAAATAGAGAATTTGCTGTGAGCCTGTGTGCACCTGTGTGTGAGAAAGAGAGGGAAGGGGAGAGAGAGGGAGACAGAGAGAGAGGGAGAGAGATAGAGGGAGAGAAAGAGAGGGAAAGAGGGAGGGAGAGGAGAGTTACAGTAAACAAAGGTATACAGAGTCTGGGTTTTCTTGAAAGGTGATCTGTCATTATAGGTTTTCTCAATGTTGTTTTTCTTATGCCCTAAAAATCTATTACCCTTTGATTCACGCAGTTTGCGATACACGGTCTTACAGAAGGAAAATAATTCTGCTTGGTAGAAACATTATCGAATGAATTCATCTTGTGGTATTACCATTAGCATTATTCATTGTGTTGTTATTAAAACACATTGATTTTCATCTGGGAGGGGTATTGATTGAAGTCCGTGTGTGGGGAAGTTGGGTGAATCATAGATTCCTTGTTGGACAGCGCACGGCATACTTTTCTGTAAAATATTGAACTCGTGTAGCTTTATAGTGAGTTTTCTTTCTAATCAAATGCTTTCAAAATGGTAATATTTTTCTTATATGGTATATTTTTGAAGTTTTTTAATGTTTAAAACTTCTTTCCCACATGGTATAGTACCGGAATTATTTTAGCATCAGCTTTTTGGCTTGCATTATAATGTGATAAGTATTTGGGAATTGTAAATACTAAATTCAGTAAGGGGTTTGAGGCTTGTGGAAATTGTTTTATGAAGGATCATGCAGGTGCACCTTAGGGAAACTGAATATTGCCAAGCGAACGAGGGAGAGAGAGCTTATGTGGAATAAATTGCCTCAGAGATAGTTTCGCAGCTAGGAGTACATAGCACGTGATAGGTTAAATCTCATGGAGCTGGTGGGTCAGAAGGTTCAGTATCAGTCACTTCAGAGGGTTTTGAGCTACGGTGTCACTAAAGATGTTTTTGTCGTGCAAAATCACGTGTCAAAGCGAGTATGTTTTAAAATGGCGATACTCATTCAAAAGTGCGAAAGTGGTAGTTTTCTAGTTTTTTTTTTAATTTTTTTTTTACTTTTATTTATTTTTGAGACACACAGAGAGACAGAATACAAGTGGGAGAGGGACAGAGAGAGAATGAGATGCAGAATCTGAAGCAGGCTCCAGGCTCCGAGCTGTCAGCACAGAGCCCGACATGGGGCTCGAACCCACAAACCGTGAGATCATGACCTGAGCTGAAGTCGGACGCCTAACCGACTAAGCCACCCAGGCGCCCCTAGTTTTCTAGTTTTTGTAAGAAATGCGTTATTTTAGGGCCACCTGGTGGCTCAGTCAGTCAAGCACCTGATTCTTGATTTGGCTCAGATCATGATCCCAGGGTCATCGGATCAAGTCCCGTGTCGGGCTCTGCGCGGAGCGTGGAGCCTGCTTGGGATTCTCTGTCTCCCTCTTTCTCTCTCTGCCCCTCTGCCCGCCCCCTTCAAGAGGAAGGAAGGAAGGAAGGAAGGAAGGAAGGAAGGAAGGAAGGAAGGAAGGAAGGAAGGAAAGAAGGAAGAAAGAAAGAAAGGTGTTATTTAAAATGTTTTGTCTTAGGGTCGCTCTGTTGGTGGTTATCGGCTGGGCAGGTGGGTGTAAACCCAGGGCTGACATCTGTGTGGTGAGGGGCTGAGAAGGAAGGCGTCACCGGCCGATCCAGAAGGAGCAGAAGTGACGGCCCTCACCCGGTGGCCCCCCGGCTCCGGAGAGGCTGGCGCGTGCCCTCTTCCTGAAACGTCCCGAGTCCGTGGTTTCTCCCTCCTCAGGTCCCCAGACGCCTCGGTCCTGCGCCATCGGCGCATCAGCAGAAGGGGTTGCGGGGCAGGGAGGGGGGACAGCTGCTGGGCGAGGGTGCCTTCCCCCCCCGTGCCCGGCCCGCGCACCTGCACTTCCTGCCTCACCCCGACCGCTTTGCTTCCCGTTAGAATGTACGGCAGAACTCACCTCCGTTCGCTTGTTCGTTTATTCCGTCCGCGGATGTTTCTGCCCGTCTGCCGGGTGCCAGGCACCGGTCCAGGGCTGGCGGCGTCCGGCGCGCAGAGCGACGCTCTCACGGGAGGGGCAGCGGTCCTGCTGCCAAATGAGGGGACTGACGGTGCTCGAAGCATCCTGAGGCTGCGCCGTGTGTCCGTCTGGAAACGCCACCCCGGGGTGAAAGCCGTGCTCCTTCTGCCCTTGACTTTGTTCCCTGCTCTTCAGCTTCCCTCCACCTTTGGGGGCTTTTTTTTTTTTCCTTTGTCTCCTGACTTGAAGCTGCTGATAGTGTGTTTCCTGGCCTGTTGGGGGGCCCTAGCCCCCTGCAGAAGTCGCGATGGCCTTGTTAGTCCTGGTGGAAAATAGTAACGGGAAATACACGTTGGGCGTGGAATTCGCTGGGACCAGCATCAAGTGGCCGCAGTTTGTATGCATTTGTGCTGCTCCTTGGGTTCTTGGCTTTCATGCCCGCAGCTTCCCCCGAAGGAAGGTCCCTGCGCTCTCCTTGCGTTGCCGTGTGCGTAGCTCTCGGGGTAAGGTGGATGCCCTCAGTATCCAGGTTGCCGGTACTTCCTGTCCATGTCCGGGGCCATGGGGAGCGGCCCCTGACACATGCCCGCACTCCCCCTGTGCTGTGGTCTGTGAAAGGGGCCCCGGCGCAAGGTCTGATGCCATCTGAGCCTCCTCGCCGCTCCTTCTCACCCCCGAACAGAAGGCTTCCTTATGTCTCCCTTAAATAGGGGACATGCAGTCGCCCAGCTGGACCAGGTGCAGGGTGGCAGGAGGGGTGCGGAGGGAAGGAAGGCTTGGAGCAGACAGGCAGGGGAGGGGCGCCTGGCTGGCTCAGTTGGCGAAGGGGAAGGGGAGCTCCTCGAGGGAAGAACCCCCCCTTGTGGGGTCCGCGAGTGGGGACGAGTGGTCCGTTCATGGTTCTTTGCCACGACTAGTGCTGTGGGACGTGCCTCGTGATTTTCTGTTCTAGTCCCTCTGCCGTTATTCGCTGGCGTTCTACAAGGAACAGCTGCTTGACCCCGTGTACTTATTCAGTGTGTATCAATACAGGCATGCGGGTACTTATTTTCTTTTACTGCATGGGCTTTTCTCACTCTTATTTATTTGGGTGCTCAGAGCATCCCCGCCCTGGCCCCTGGGACGCTGGGAGCGGACGCCTGTGCCCTCTCAACACGCCTCGCCGGTTTTGAGCCATTTCTCACTGCGGGCCCCCCGTGAGATGCTCCTGGCTCATCCCATGTGCACCTAGCCCTAGTTCTGGAAACAGCCATTGCTCAGTGGACACAGACATGAGCATTCCTTGGCCACGTGCATTACAGGAAACTGAACACATTAGCATAGCTCTAATGCAGCCAGTGGATGGGATGGCCTGTCCTCAGACCCTTTGCTCATCTCCCGCATCTGGCTTTCCGGCTCTTTCCCTGCCTCCCTGGCCTTGAATGGAAGGAACAACAACAACAACAATTTGAAATTCTGAGCTTCATTTGTTTGTGTCTTGCACACGCACCTTGTTTTAACGTGCACAGAGATTAAACCCGATGGCCACCCACCACGCGTGATAGACTGACGGCGCCTGAGGTCCAGCGCCTCGCCTCGTCTCTGACAATCTGTTGCAAAGAGCTGTGCCGTGGAGATGCTGATTGAATTCTGCCCTAACCGCTTTCCTCCTTTTTGTTCGTTTTCACCAGATTTGCCGTCGCTTTCACGGAGTCAATGAAGGAAGTGGCACAAACGCAGTGGGTACGTGTTTGTTTCGTGATGCTGTCTGGGCCGTGCCGGGGAGGTTGCAGGGCTGGGGGCGGGAGGCACTTTGACTGGAACGGACGACGTTCCCATGGACACTACCTCTTGTGGCCGCAGTCGTGCATTATGTTTCCTGTATTTCGATGCTTTTTTGTGTCGATATTCTTAAGATGTCACTGATTTTTTCTTTTTATATTGTTGCTGAATAGCAAAAACAGCCCAATGGCCAAACATTTTCGTATTCTGTTTGTTTTCCTTCCGTGCGCCCAGATTGGGTGACTTATAGGCTGTGCTACAAATGTCGCAGGCAACTCACGTGCGCACAGCGGAGCGGCGGTCTTGCAGGCGGTGGATGTAATTTCCAAAGCTGTCCATTTATCCGAAGAGCTTTAAAGCGTAGAGGACTTTGTAGCTCTGCAAGTTAATTCCCTTATTGACTTTTTTATTCATGATGGCTGGGGGGCTGGGGGTATGAGCTGGTGGGAGTCTGAGTTCCCAGCGGGGAGTCACGGAAAGGCCTGGCCGCGCGGGCGCAAAACCAAAGCAGAGGCCGCTTTGCCGCGTGAGCCTCTCGGGTGGGGAGGCCTACAGGGCCCTTGGTCACAGGCTCGCCCGCTGTGCACCGCACTCACGCCCTTATCATTCGTGGGTGTTATTCCCATTGGGGGTATTTCACAGGCGAGGCCCTTTCTTTATGGGATTTCTGTTCGCAAGATTCCGCGCTCGCCTACTGCTGCTCTGGGTCGAGGGCACATGCAGTCTTCTCCAGCACTGGTACCGCGCCAAATGCTCCGCCCCGTGCGCGTGTGGGTGCATTCATCCCTGAGGCCACAGCCCGCACAGCCGCCTTCACGACCTCCTCACGGTGGTCGGTGGTCATCTGAAGCGATGCTTGCCCACCTCTGGGATCCCCGGCCTCTTTCCAGGCCTCCACAAAGTCGAACCTATTTGATAAGAATAGGAAGACGCGGTGTCCCCTTCTCACACTGGGAAATCCGCGCTGAGTAAAACCGCTGGGCCCTTTTGACCCGGTGAGGGCGGCGGCACCAGTCAGAGCCAGTGACCTTTGATTGTTCACACCACCCACTTGTAGTTTAAAAAAAAAAAAAATCACTTTAAGATTTCCTTGCTGAGCCAACAATATTGTTTAATTTTATCAACTATTACCCTTTGGATACAAGTTTTTTTTTAATGTCCGGTGTGATGATGGCATGGGAAGTGCGCGTAAAGCCGTCCGCTGAATTTCTGAATGAAGTGTGACGTTTACCTGGAGAAAAGGCGCTTGTGTGGTTGAGCCGCAGATTGAACCAGAGACTTGGTATTGAAAGAATGAGCAGCAGACAGACTGTGGTTATTCAGACTTGGGCGTTCGTCAGAAGTTTTTTCTTTGAAATGAGCGGCTGGAGCCATTACCTGTTGCCCATGGTAACACTTGACCTGCCGAGCCGAAAATCAGAAAGCTACCACACGGGTGAGAGCTTCCGCAGACGTAAGGACTCGCCTGGTCCCATTAGCACATGAGATTTGGTTCTGATACTGTGTGAGGAAATGCCTCAATGTTCGGAAGATCTGCATCGCTCCGTGAGTCCGGAGTTTTTCAGATGACTGAGGTGCGCACGGCACAGGTGAAGTAGCCGTCCACAGTGCAGGATAGGCCCACGGACTGTGCTGGAACAGAGCGCGATACAATGGCAGGTTCCATACCGCGTCTGCCCTTTAGGAAGGTACTGTTGGTTGAGCTTTGGTACAGGCATCCAAGAATAATGCCTGCAGTGATCTGAAAGGCCTTCCCTTCCAGCTGCCTCTTAAGGAGATGCTGACATTTCTTCACATACCTGAGCCCAAATCAGCATCTGCAAACAGGGCCAATGGAGCAGCTGACCTGGACCCCCGACCATCCTCTGTGAAGCCAGACGAGAAAGGAAGTTTTAACCTGTTGAAGCCCATGTTCCTTGTCCGTGAATCTGTAGCCCTGCCCCCCCAAGCTTCTCTGTCTTCAATGTCACCTTCATCCATGGACCCTAAGTGTGGGTGTGTTCACTTACCGTACATGTTATTTTTTGCAAACGTAGAGACTTAAATCAAACACTTGTTATTTATTCTTTGTGTTGCCTGGGTCAGCTCCGCTAAGCTCCCCCACCCCGTCTGCTGTCAGCCACGAGGCTCCGCAGCAGGTGGGAATGGGCGCCGGTGTGAAAGCCTTCTTCAACCTGCTGCTTGCCTGATGTTTAGCCAAAGTGTGTCAAGAAGTGGAGATAGAGTCTGCCTCATAACGGGGTCTTCAAGATGGCTTTGCAGCCACGGGACACAGGGAAGGATGCACTTAGTGCCGGTCCTCTCCTTAACCCGCTATGTTTGTAACTCCTTGAAGACGAGAAAGTATGCATCGCTCGCGCACCCCCAGAGGGGAACACGCATCCTCGGGTTCCACAGATCTTTATTGAACTGGATTCAACAAGGAAGGACCCTTGCCGAGAACTTTTTAATATAGAAATTTCCACGCATGAGCAAAAGTAGCAAGAATAGAGGAGTGAACTCCTGTACCTGCCACCTGCTTACACCCTTCAAAGCTTATCTAATCTACCGTCATTCTCCCCACTTGCACACACACAGACACATGCACACAGGCACACACTCTCACACGCACGTACATGCATGCACCCGCACACATACACACACACACACACACATGCAGAACGTCACACGCACACATTCTCGCACACATACATGCACACACACGCACACACTTATTTTCTGGAATATTAAAAAAAATTACAGCCATCATGCCATTTCCCCTGCAGATACATGCCATTTTACCGGTAAATGCGCTTTGATAAAGATATTTTTTAACCTCCATACCACGTTCTGGATGAATTTTTCTGTGGGAAGACTGTAGCATGTAAGGAAGAAATAAAGCAGGACTCGAGACTATTAACATAATTTAAGATTTTTATCAGTAAAGTTTGGACGAGCTGGACTGAAGGAGTTTGGATGGGGAAAGGAAGGAGAGCGAAACCGGGGTCCCAGACACGCTGAATCGGAGACAGATACAGGGCCCAGGTGTAAATACCCAGGACGTGGCTGACGTGGCTGCGGTGTGAGGCTGTCCTGGGGGGAGGGCACAGCTGGAGACGCAGAGCCGGGGTCGCCGGTGCCCAGTGATAACTGATGCGTGGAACGGTTACTCTTACATGAGTCTAGTTTCCGACGAGGTGAGAACCACACGGAACGTACAGAGCGGCCGCAGTCACGGTGGGGGTGGCAGTCGCAGTGATGGTGCCCCAGAGACGCGGATAGAAGGGCCAGCTTCCACACCAGAGGGACTGCAGTCCAGCTCTTTGTTTGCAGAAGAGACTCTTCCAAGTATCAAAACAAAGCTTTCTTCTTTTTTTTTTTTTTAAACCAAACAGGCAGCAAATGTTCGGTCTGGAGTGATGATGTAAGAGACACTATAATAAACGCTAATGATAAAGAAAGGAGGCATCTCATCTTAGAGTTTAAAGTGGTGGGGGTGAGTTATTAAATCCGAATGCAAATCTGTGTTTTTAATACAGGTTTTTTGTGCTCTTTTTGGTAGATGAATTTTCAATAAAGTTCCGCTCAATACCTTCGTCTGATTACTTTTCACAAATTAAAAAAAAAGACCTATAAATAATGTAAAGCTTCATTATTTAGCTGCACTTATATAATTATTTTAGATGGATTTTTGTAGAGAGATGATTTTTACTTGGGTCTTTTGGACAGCAACGCGGTTTTTCAGTAATTACATTTGACTCTTCATTATCGAATTGCCAGCTTTTGTTTTTAATTTTGTGTTCCTTCCTTTCGGGAGCAGGCTTGACTTGGGATGTTGTTTAGTATATCCTACCTAATTATTATCCAACCAGAATCAAATTCCGATGATCTCAGACTAGAAAGATTTGCTTTGTGTTGCACAAGACTCACTGACGGTTATTCTACTCATGGTCATGGTTTATTCTTGTGGTTGTTCTTAATGAGCCTCAAATCAGCCCAAACGAAGAGCCGTGTAGGGCAAAGGAGCCATTACCCTCTTCCCCATGGAGTCAGGTCATTCTACCCCCCAGTTATTGATCTGAGACAATAAGTGTGGAGGATTAGCACTCGGGGAGCTACCCAAGCTGAGGGTCCGACATTTTTATTGGAACTTCATTCTGTAGGCTTGGTTGGTGGACCACACACATGCTGGAATCCAGTGTTTAAGTGGACAGATGTCTCTCGACTCCTGGTTTCTACCCTAAGACCCATGGCCATGACCGGCCCTGCCCTACACAAAGACCTCTCACGTATCACATATTTATTTCCCCGAGGCCACCACGAAGGCCAGGTTCCTCATTGTACACCATCCAGCTCCCAAATCTTATTATTTCAAAACGTAATCAATATAAAAATGACTAATGAGATAGTTCACTTTTTTCTCCTCTTGTACTAAGTCTTCAAATTCCAGTGCACCTTTCGCACTTGGGGCACATCTTTGTTCAGAGCAGCCCTTGTTCAAGGGCACCAGGATTTCGTGTGGCTGTCGGCTGCCACATTGGTCCGCCCAGCGCGGTACATGCAAGTGAGGGATGAGCTCTCTCAAGATCACGAAAGCATGTGCTCACACAGCATCAGGGAGTGGGAGACGTCTTCACGGAAATGCATCCAGAACCGGTGCATTTGGTGGCCCTGGGTCCCTGTCTGCCCTCTGGGAACGCCAGGGCACTGCTTCAGGGGCTGTAGATGGTCCCCTATCTATCCCTGGCTGACTCCACAGATTAGTTTGATTGGATTTCAATAAAGATGGTTTTATATTATCTTTTAATTTGAAATGCCTTTGTTTGGGCTTATTGTTAGGTTTTGTTTTTTTTTTGTTTTTTTTTTTTTAGTGTTGTTTAAATCAACCTTAATGTGATGACGTGCCTACTTTGTGAAGGACACGCTCTCAGTGGGCTCTTTACCAGGTCTGCACACTGCATCGTTAATATTTATCACATGAGTTCAACGCCGGTTGTGTTTCGGGAAAATGCTGCTCTGTTGGTTTGTGAAATTATAACCTTGATGTGGCGTTTTTAGGGATTTGATTCACTACCCATCTCTAACTTTGATGTATGGCTTTTGGAAATGTAAAACTAGCTAGTCTATACAGAATGTAGGTTTCTGATTACTGTACGTAATAGACGTTTCAGCATGCAAATTTGGGTTAAAAGTGAAGGATGCTTTCTCTAAATTCACCAGACTTTTACCAGGAAGTGTGACTACTTCACAAAAAGAAAGAAAGAAGGAAAGAAAGGAAGAAAGAACGAACATTAGGTATATATCTTAATGAAAATGTTTTCTCTCCGCCGAAGCAGTGACCCTGGGTGTAATATGTCTCCATTGGGTCCAAAACCCCAGAGGCCTGCAGCGAATTCAACTGCACTCTTGACCCACTCTCTCTAAGAAGTTCTCTGCGGACAAGACTTTCTCCCAATTCAAATATTTATTTACGAGCTGTTTCGTAAACATCTTGAGTTTGAGTAAATATTGCTTGAAGTGGTTACCGAATTTGAAGAACCATGACGATAACCAAAATGACCCACGTGTACACTCTTCGGAGATCAGCACTGAGCCAAGCATTCTGGTGGCATTACTTTTTCTTTTCTTTTCTTTTTTTTTTTTTTTTTTGTAGTTTGGAGACCCTGCATCACTGCCTGTTGGGGCTTACAGGCCTATCTATGTCTTGCCCCGGCACTCGTTAAAGAAAAATAACTTTCCTGAAGCGGTTTGTGTTTAGGCAATACGTAAAGTGTGCTTTTACTTGCAGTGGGTGCATGTACTCATCAGAATCCTTTTGGAAACTGCAATGCAGAAAGCAAGACAGATTTCGTGGGCTGTCACCTGTGCAGTTGGTGGGACAGGTGAGCTCCCTAAGCTGACGGAGGTGCTCGCTTGCCCCGGCCCGTCTGAACGAGCCGCGTGTCGACTAACCGCTGCCCTGTGTACTTGCACGCATGTTGTCCCGCGAACCGCTTCCTCCTCCTCCTTCCTGCACGGCCCACTGCTCTGTACCTGGTTATGTCCGAAAATCACTCCAGCAGCGGCAGGAGCCTCTCAGACCACAGCTTTTGCTACGGTTCCTACCGTAATGGTAACGTAAAATCATCCACCTCCGCAGTTTCAGCCCCAGACGTGTGTGCGGCCCTCCCTGCAAATACCCGGTAACAGAGACTCCAGGGACTGATCACACACTAGGAAGCTAATCACTGTTAATAACTCCACTACGATTGGCTTTCCCCAGAGAGTTCTCGATGAAACTGCACATGTTCTTTGCATTTTTCTTCTGCACATGAGATCCCTGGGAATTGGAAAGTTTGAATGTAACTCAGAGAATGGAAAACGCATCAGTTGTAGAGCGTAGACACCCCCCGCCCCCCACCTTTCTCACGATCATGACCTGGGGCTCAGAAATCTGGAATCATCACAAGTGCTGTGAATTCCTCAAATCACCAGGGCACAGAGAGGCGGGGAAGCTTTTGAATCACATCAACAATTCCCAGTAAATCTATTTCCTCCATAGATTTAACTGTTTTTTGTTGTTGTTGTTGCTGTTTTTAAGAAGTCTTCCCTCAGGTTTCCTGTTGGGTTCCTATCCCCGAGTTGGCACCCAGCTTTGGATCTCACAGGACTGGGTCCCCACCCAGGCTTCATTCAGAGACACTCCTCACCCCATTCACGAATCCTTCCTTTTCTTGAAAAAAATCTCTCTGCATCTGGTTCAGCAACAAGGCTGTGCCCCTCTTCTATTTTCTTTCCTTGCTTAAACACTGATTTCTAAGGGAAAGGGTGGGGAGAAAGGAAGAGAACCATGTTCCCTGAAAAGAGCCCAAGTCCTGTGCGTTTTTGTCTTTATTTTATTAACAGACGTACATTTTGAGAGCTTTCCACTTCTGAGCTATGATTTCTGTAAGTCTTTCAAAAGTAATTTTAACAAAGCCATCATCAGAAGTCAATTGTAGTTTCAAAATAAAAGTTAGTATTTCATCACAAAGCACGTGCATATATTTCAAAAATAATATTTCCTGTGGTTTCTAATCTCAGAGAGCTTGGTTTCAGAAGGTTATGTAAGTCGAAAAAGGGGGTTTTGCTGTTGCTGTTATTCCATTATAAAAAGGCATCAATTAGCATTTGGACCTGCGAGAAAGTCATGCGTATCTGAAAGTATTTGTCCACCAGGACATTGGCTTTTTATGCCTAGTAATGGGCCAAATTAAGTAATGGTTTCTCGACACCGTGGAACATCTTGCATCCCTACCCCCTGCACCCCCACGCGCTCACACACAGAGGCGTCTTTTTCATTTCCTGCATCAATGAGCTAATCTTGCAAGGGAAGTGATATACAAGGATTTTGACTCTTGTATTATTTCAAGGCAAGAGAAACAACAATAAATATTGAGAAAAGAAAGCTAATTTGTACTTAGAGCATTTTAATATAGATAATGTTTTTCAAAATCAATATAGGCCACTTGGCTTTTGCCAGATTTCTTTATTACAAAGATTAAAAATAACCCAGGTCCAAATATAACTCTATTTTCATGACTTGCTAGGATGAGATCTTAAAATGTCGTTTGTAACATGCTTAAAACATCTATAGAGGACTTGATACTACTTTCCTCATGGTTTCAGTAGATTCAGGGGAACTAGTGCTCCGAGATATAGCAAGACCAACAGATAAATCCAGAAGATTCCACACAGAGTCCATTCATTATGCTTATGGAGTTTGGATACCAGTGTAATTAATTTTAGTTTGTGTCAGATGGAATTTTCTTAAAGGCAGCATTTTGGGTTTATGCATTTCTAATTGCAGACGGAGCATATTTCTAATGAAAACAGTGGCCATTTTGCCTTCCCTCAATTAATCAAATCTATGTAGAATTATATTGAATCTGTTTTTGTCAAATGCCAGGCTGGTAGGTTTTCGCCGGTGTGTTAGCCTCACTTTCCGAGCCAATGTTTTAGACTCGAGGCTGGGTGGAGAGGAGGCACCCCTAAGCACTTCTGTACTTCCAGTGAAATTATAATAATACAAAAGGAATATTATACGGCTTAGAACTTCAATTTCTAATTTAAAATTGTTGCTAGTAGCCATTTTTTTCCATTAAAGTTAACATTTTTTTAAACTGATAGGGTGGAGAATTTTTTAAACTTTTTTTATGGCTTATATTAAGGGCATTTTATTTTATTTTACTTTTAATTTTTTTAATGTTTATTTTTTCAGAGAGAGAGAGAGAGAGAGAGAGAGACAGAATCTGAAGCAGGCTCCAGGCTCTGAGCTGTCAGCACAGAGCCCTGTGTGACACACCACAACGCTCAAACTCACGAACCGTGAGATCATGACCTGAGCCGAAGTCAGACGCTTAACTGACTGAGCCCCCCAGGCGTCCCTTAAGGGCAGTTTAAAAGGGGGGGTTCCTCCCTGCTGGGTGGAGAATTGAGGAGGATGGTCTGCCTTAGAGGTCTTGGGTGCTTCTAAGGATTGGATGGAAACTGTAACACTCAGACAGAAGCAAAGTACACTGAGTCTCCTGTCTGTGTGCCGACTTGCACGCAGCTGCCCGGAGACGGCGAATGCTGAGCCCCCCAAACCCCTTCCCACCCACGGGGCAGAAGGCAGGGCCACCCCCTCCCTGTCCACGGGCCTCCTCAGAAGGACCGCTTCAGCGCTGGCTAGTTTTCCGAACACAGAACTGATTGAGGGAAGCAGATCTGCACCCCACGTGTACCCACGGGCACCCACATGCACCCCACACGCACCAGCACGGGCTCCCTGTCACCTTGGGGGCCAAGGCCCCCATCCACGCAAGCAGGCGGAGGGGGCAGAGTGGTAGCAGAGGTTTCTGTGGCCTCCGTTCCTGAGCTGGGCCGGGTCCCCCTGCACCGCTGGGGCACGTCGGACACGTGACAGGTAAAGACCGTGTCTTCCGATCACGTTCTGCACAGCCCACCTGACCCTGCAGCCTTCCACGCTTTGTGTCGAAATTTGATTTTAAAAATATTTAAGCCTCCGTTTCGAAATGAGTTTGAGAAATGGATTCTTTTTCTCTCTAGTAGTTTTGTGACGTTCCATCAGGAAACGCTGCCGGGAGTAGTAAGTTTGTATCTTGGTACCAACACGTAGCTCAGCCATGCAAAGTGCCGCCTGGTCCCCCCACGTCAGAGGGGTACCCGGGGAGGGTGCTTACAGGGTCCTGGAGACCAGTCCTTCCCGCCTGGAGGAATCTGCCCCCCACCCCCACCCCCTACAGTGCCTATTGTCCTGTTCTCCCCTCCCCAAACCTCCCTCCTCTCCCCTTCCTCCCTTTCTCCTGTCTTCTGGCAGCTGGGGGTGGGGAGTGTCAGAATACCTGTCCCCAAACCGCTAGGGCACAGGGGAGACTCTGCCCCTGGCATGTTCTGTGTCCGACCTTCAGTAACTTTTCTACTAACGTCGTAACTGGAAAACTGTAATAACGCATTATGCCTAATTTAAGGGACCTCTTTCTCTGTGCTTCTTAAAGATGCTGTGTTTTTAATGGGCTAACCCCCATTAAAGGCAGAGGGAACTCTGCTTTTAGAAAGTAGTCTGTGAGCATCTGTGTGGATGATTCTTTGCGATGTTTTCCAAGGCGATTTTTTAATGGCTTTCCTTTTACTTCTAAAAGGCATTTGTAACGGACTATCCAATTTACACTGTTTTCTCTCTCCTCTCTTTTCAAAAGCCTCATGCTAGGGGTAAGATCTATGTCCAGAGTCAAGGTAAGAATTTTTAAATTTACGTATTTTTAAAATATGAGTCTATTCAGAGACCTGTCCTGAAGTGTTTGTGGATGAAATAATATAGTGTCTTAGGTTCACCTAATAATAGTCAGGATGAATGTGTTTAGTGCTTCTTGACAAATACGAGAACATTATAAAAGAGTAATTTAAAATGCAGTTTGGTTAACATTTTCAACCACATGATGTGCTCTCCCGGTGGCCTGTTTACAACGGAAGAAACCGGAGCTGGTCTGTTTTCGTTGCGTTGAGGGGAAGCAGACCCCCTTCCTGCCCTCACCCATTCCCTCCTGGATGGTGGTCCGCACAGCCTTTTGGTAACCCTTTGCCATCTCCTAAACACAGCGAGGAAACCACTGTATTATTATTTTTTTATGCTTATTTATTTTGAGAGAGAGTGTGTGTTTGTGAGCAGGGGAGGGGCAGAGAGAGAGAGAGAGAGAGAGGATTCCAAGCAGGCTCCACACTGTCAGCACAGAGCCAGACACAGGGCTGGAACTCACAAACTGTGAGATCATGATGAAAGCTGAGATCAATAGTCAGACGCTTAACCCACGGAGCCACGCAGGTGCCTGAAAGCACTGTATTATTGCTTAAACAACAGAAATCACAGGAAGAAGCAGTTCCAAAGGACGTGTAGCTGATTGCAAGCTTAGGTCAGCACAGTTGCTGCAGCCAAGGTCATGAGTTCAAGTTTCGTGGGGAATTTTCCAAGGTGCTGAGCCCCAGAGGGCCCACCTCAGCTGCATGGTGCATCATCACGGGTATAAATCCTCAGGGCCTTTCAGTGATATTTTTAGCGGAAGAATCACTTATCAAATAAACCCTTTCTAGGAATTCCCACTTTAAAAAGATGCTCTGACTCGGCTATAGAGAGGGTGTGTGAGTGTCAGGGCAGGTGTGGGGTTAATGCCTCCCATTCCTCCTTCGTGGCCTGATTTATAGCCAAGGAGCACACGGGCGCACCAGGAAAACACGGGCTTTGAAGCAGCACTTGGGTTTGGACGCAGCCTCTACCCCCTACACACCGAGTCTCTGTGAACCCCATTTAAGCCTCTGTGAACCCTAGTTTCCAGCAGGATAAACTAGAGGGGTCAGTCTGCTGGGCGCGGCTTCAAGGTTTCCAGGAGTGTGTGGGCGGCACCCACCCAGCGCCCGGGCCCAGGCGTGCCCGCATGCTCATTAAATAGTACTAAGTTGAATAATCTGCATTGCTCAGTGCAGATGACAGTCTCACAGGTACATTGCAGAGAGGGTTACATGACTTAACAGTTCATAAAATGTCAGATTTTCCCAGATAAGCTGTTAAATGTTGCCTCTGAATTTTCTACATCTTAAGATGTTCAATTAAGAGAATGTTAAACTTAAATCCGTCCAAGGAGGTGACACAGAAAACAAGATAAGTGATTTGGAGAGGGTTGAGATTAGGAATTTTAAATTAAGACATAATTGCTACATGGGGCTGTGTTTTAGAAGCCTGTTCCCTGCATGCATTTTTTAGGGATGCATTTTTACTGGGATCCGCCCAGTAATGGATGGTGAAGCTGAAGGGGATGCACTTTCCAAGTTGGGGACCCGTGGGCTCGGCTTGCTTTGAGCTGGAGTCATGGACAGGTGTTCATGAAGCACTCAGAACATTGGGTTCTTTGTAAGGACCAAGTATAAGACCATTATTTAAAAATCAGCACAAAATAGCCAGTTACTTCTCATCAATGTGGACTTGCTTTCTGTTTCCTTCCACCCAGGAATTGTGACAGTACCAAATGCTTCCTTTAACTGGAACACCTTTCTTCACCAATCAGGTGAGAGAAGAATCTTCTTATGTGCGTATGACTGGAGTGCATCTTGTCATTGGTGTCAGGTCCATGGTATGCTCACATGGTTTTGGAAAAGAGGCCCCAGAGAAAGTGGTTTCTTCAGGTCAAAGAAGTCTACGATTTTAGGTGAACAAGGGGACGGAGTAGTGGGAATTAGGACCAGACAGGATTAGGACGGGCATGGCTTCTCTCTGTTCCCAGAGAAGTCATTCGTGGTCTCATCCTTGGAAGAAGAGGAGGAAGAATGGGTTTGTTAGGAGGGTTTTGTTTTTTTTATCTATTCTGGGTTCAAGTCTTCTGTTAGATACGTGTATTTACAGGGACGCCTGGATGGCTCAGTGGGTTAAGTGTACAACTCTTGATTTCGGCCAGGTTCATGAGATTGAGTCCCATGTCCTACTCTGTGCTGACAGCTTGGAGCCTGCTTGGGATTCTCTGCTTCCCTCTCTCTCTGCCCCTCCCCTGCTTGCGTGCTCTCTCTCAAAATAAATAAATAAACTAAAGAAAAAAGGTACATGTATATACGTGAATATTTTCTTCTATTTCCTCTGGTTTACCTTTTCATTTTCTTCTTCCTCATCCGTTTCTCTTTCATGATTAATTAGCACTGCTTGAGCCCTGACTAAGAAACTTTGCCTGTTCACAGTTCACAGAGATGTTTCCCCTATTTCTTTTCCTCCAGGTGTTTTAGTGTTTTGGCTCTTTCAGTACGATTATAATCCATCTGAAATTAAGGTTTATGTGTGGTGTGAGGTAGGGAGCAAAATTAGTTTCTTTCCGAAAGTGGTTCTAGTATCGTTCCTTGAAAGCGTTTTTCTTTCTCCACTGAAATGCTTTCTGGAAATCAGTGTGCCATATACTCAGTGTCTGTTGATCTATATATGTCTATCCTTATGCTGGTATTGTGTTGTCTTGCTGTTGGTGTATAGCATGTCGAGAAATCAGGTAGTGAGTCGACAGTTCTGTGTCAGCTAACCAAGGTTCTTGCATTTCCATATATATTTCAACTCATCCTGTCAATCTCTACAAAATCCATAGATCATGTTAGGCAGAATTGACATCTTAAAAATAATTTGTCTTTAAAATCTAGGAACATAATATATCTGTCCAGTTATCTAAGCCTTACTTATCTTTGCAATGATTTGTACAGGTCTTTATGCCTTTTTAAAAAAATTATTCTTAGGGGTTTTACTATCTTTGCTGCTATTATAAAGGTTTTTTAAATTTTATTTTTGAATTGTTGCTAGTATGTAAAAACACAGTTGATTTTTGACATTATATTCTGAAATCTTATACATTTATTTACTTATTTTGATTACATCATGAGTTTCAATTCTTTTATAGTGTTATTTTGAATTCTATACACTTATTTGACCAGTGCCTTCTTAAACTTTTTGATATGTAGGAACAGAAGTGCTAGGATTTCAATCTGCATATACTTGCCCAGTTGTTTTCTTCGGAACGCCTAAGACCAGAATCTCTGGGTTAGACCTTTCAGACATTGTACGCAATATCTCCTGGGAAGGTAGCTTTGACGTGCATGTCCGTAAGCCACGCTGTGACACACGTGGTGGAGCTTGCAGAGTCTAGCCTTTGTATTTTCCACATACGGTATGATCTAAGTGCAGTCACAATGTCCAAACAAAATTTTGTTGAACAATGTCTTTACATTTGGAAAGTTTCATTGGTCATAGATGAGGCCTCTAAGTGTGTACTCCTGGGGACTGTCACTGCCTTAGAGTCTGACCAGCTAAAATGGCCTCACCAAATGCGATGTAAAGTTCAAGAATACGTCTGCTTTGACCTGAACCACCTCTCCCGAGAGTCCATGGTGCCCGGGGACTGTAGGTGGGGAGCTGATGTTGCAAGCCTGCTGTTAATTTCAGAGAAGAGGCTGAAGAGCCAGACTCCAGCACGCAGATGCCCAGGCTAGTTTTCGCTCCAAACACAGCCGGCAGAAGCTCCCACCCACCACATATGGAATGTCAGAGTCAGGCTCCCTTGGAAGAAGAGCATTTCCAAGCGTTTTATTAGAAACAGTTTTCCAAGTGCATCCATCAACCTCGGGGCCAGAAGCAGGGCCGTCCTCTGCATCACGGATGAGCCCTCGCCGTCCCCAGCTCCATGACACCGGCAAGTGGGGGCCATTATTCAGAACCAGCGAGCCCTTTGAAATCGCCTGTTGTGAGGTGACTTCATCTCCCATAGATCACCTGACGCCGTTGTGCTGTGACTACGAGTCATAATTTCCAAAGGGAGAGAGATTTCTCATGACGCCTGTAGTCTCGGGCTGATTGTTTCATTGGTCTTCGTGCCGAGTGATTAACGGAACAGCCGAGAGACGCTCAGGACTCCTCAGACAGCCTTTCCCGCAGAGGCCCGCGTGGCGGCGGCTCTGTCTCAGTGTACAGTTACACACTGTAAGCATGCCCGGGGTACCTGGCACAGGCACGCTCCCTGGGGTCCTGGTAGCCGGCTCTGTCAGATCGTGGTGCAGGGGTGGATGCGGAATTAATGGGCGTCTCCGGGTTTTATGCCCAGGCATCCGTTCCCATTTGCAGAGCCATTTGTCTGTGTCATCGTTGGCTCTAGAGATAGACTGTCTTCCCCACCCATCCTCCATCTTGCCCTGGCCTCCACAGCCCGCGATTGTGATTTGTCACTTCTGCTTTGAGCTTTAGGCAGTGAAAGCAGAAGATACGGTGAATTCGACACAGACTGTTAGTGATTAAAATGCTCACCCTCTGAGTCCTTGTGAACCATTAACCTTGCGATCAAGGGGAGGGGGTGAGGAAGGGCCGCGGTTAACAGCCCAGACCCACAGAGATTAGTCACCAAGGCGTAGTGTCTGTTTCCTCGGTATCTGATGGCGATTTGAGGATGTGTCCTCCTTCACGGTGTGACACGGGTTTTTCTGAGAATATTCAGTTCTCTCTCCAAGCCCTAGCTAAAAGATTACTGAATCTTTTGAGTGTCAGACATTGCTTTTATGCTAACTGGATTCCACAGACCAACAGATCAACTAGGAAAAAATAATGAGGTAGAGTTTTTTTCCCCATGATATTTACAATAGTTATTCTATTGTAATATAAATACAACCTCAAGTTAGTTACCTTGGAGTCCATCTGTGCGTTAGCAACTTAAACATTGTTATTGTTCAGTAATAGATGATTTTTCCTCTCAATGCCCATGACTGACACATCTAAAATTAGTGATTCTTTGTTGGTCATCGAACCCCAAAACTGTGAAAGCTTAAATTTGACCATACCTTCCTGATTTTTTGTTTCCCATTTTATTATATTTCTATCGTTTATTTGTTTAATCTTCTGCCTCTCTCCTTCTGTAAACTATACTTCTGTTTATCTGTGAAGACTCTGACATGCCAAGCTCAGATGGTAGTATTTCTCCTCCTTGGCGGTGCCCAGGAGAACCCCCTTGCTTTTTATGTGGAAAATTCACATTACCAGATCCCTCGATATTTTCACAGCCCCCAAATCAGATTTTTCAGTTAACATTCACCACGTCTAATGTGGGCCACTGAAGTTCTTGGATTCTTTTCTCCTTACAATAACTCAGGGTGTTGGGGATGGAAGCCAGGAGAGAAGGTGGCATAGTGTGGATTGGGTTTGTGTCTTGGAGCATCTGATGCATCACTGGAGGGCCAGGCAGCGTGACTGGCACGTAGCCTGCTGGGGCCCATACGGTGCCAGACCATGAGAGCGACTCACTGTGTTTTGAAGATAAAAATACCACTCTCCTTGGGGCGCCTGGGTGGCTTAGTCGGTTAAGCGTCCGACTTTCGCTCAGGTCATGACCTCACGGTTCGTGGGTTCGAGCCCCGCTTCGGGCTCTGTGCTGACTGCCAGCTCAGAGCCTGGAGCCTGTTTCGGAGTCTGTGACTCCCTCTCTCTCTGACCCTCCCCTGCTCACGCTGTCTCTCTCTCTCTCTCTCTCTCTCCTAGAAATAAATAAAACACTAAAAAAAAAAAAAAAAAGAAATGGGTTGTATTAAAAAAAAAATACCACTCTCCAGGAAACGGTAACATTGGAAGGACAGATGTGTAAATCGTGCTTTTGTGAGGGATGAGGTCAGACCTTGACTCACGGTAAACGTGGATGCTCACAGAAAAACAGAGGGAAGAAAAAGAAGTTTGGAGTTAAAAGGAAGAAATGAAATCCACTGAAACATTTCCTAGGCACCTGAGTTCACCTCCAGACGTCCACAGGCCAATTTCTTTTAGTTCTGTTTTGAAATCTAAGAATGGCCGCCATACGTGTGTGTAGCCCCGGTCAGGGACACACGCTTGTTTGATCGTGATTTCTCACCTGTTATCTTTATGTCCTTGACAATGGTACCGTTGTGTGTCGAAGTGCACAGAAGCTGTTCAAACCCAAAAGCTGTGTCTGCATTTTATTTTTAAAAATGTGTTGGTCCTAGAATAAGGCAAAGCATTTGGTTCTTTGTCCTACCATGGGCTAACTTAGTTTCCTAAATCCTCATGACATTTAATCTCCAACCCGGGAAGAAGACCAGGAGAGAGGCGAGAGAATATCAGGTTAGCACCGTCTCCCTCCAAGGTCTGGTAGGTCAGTGCTCTCGAAATCAGTGAGTGAGCTGGGGACCAGCACTTTTAAAAACTGAAATGAGGGGCGCCTGGGTGGCTTAGTCGGTTCAGCGTCCGACTTTCGCTCAGGTCATGACCTCGCGGTTCGTGGGTTCGAGCCCCGCGTCGGGCTCTGTGCTGACTGCCGGCTCAGAGCCTGGAGCCTGTTTCAGTCTGTGTCTCCCTCTCTCTCTGACCCTCCCCTGCTCATGCTCTGTCTCAAAAATAAAAATGGACTATAAAAAAAACTGAAATGAAATGAAATGAAAGGAATACTTACCTCAGAGTTCCTTGTATGTAGTAAGGCCAGTATTTTGGAACTGTGAGCATATACAAGCCTGTATCATGTTATAAGGTCTCAATATGATGTGTAGAGCTTACCATAAGCCACAGAACATTTTGAAGATGAATGGTGTAAACTGCGGGGTGCTCTCTCTCGAGGTGGGCTCCCTCGGCCTCCCAGGGTGGGGGCAGGCGCGGGCCTCTGAGCATAAGGCCAGCACGTCTCCCGAGCCTGCTGTTTTGAGCACCTAACGTGTGTCACATCCAAACAGGCACACAAGTAGGTTTTGACATCTGTGCTTGCCGCACGGCAGAAACACAGAAGAGAACGGAGCTTTTTCCCAAGACTCACATATGCCCTTAGAGGAGTGCTGCTTCGGCTGCCTTCTCTGGACACCACCTTGCTGTGTTTGTTTTGCTTTTATTCTTTTTCTCGAGTCAGTAACTCAGGTTCTCTGATTTCCCCCTTTTGGGCACGTTCGTGCTTCTTCCATCTCCTTGTCTCCTCCTCCTCCTCCTCCTTCTGCTGCTTCTCCGTCTTCTGTGTTTGAACAGATGCTCCATGTCCGTCCCGACGATGTTGTCCGTGATGTTGTGTCCTGCCCACATCCCAGGTCGCATCTGGAGATAGATCACATCAGCTTCTCCTTTGCTGGGCATTTTTAGAAATATTAACTGTGTGCATGTGCGTGTGTGTGCGTGTGTGTATGTGTGTGCCCTGGGCTCAGGCTCCCTCCCGTAGTTAAGTGGGTGTCTCCCGAGTTTCTCCTCGTACGGCTGTTACCATTTTCTTGTAGTTCGTAAGCAGCTTCTGTGAAGGCGCCTATAATTTGTGTCGCACCCACACGCCCCCTCTCCTGCCTCAGTGTTCACTGGTGGCTCCTGCCTGGTGATGCGGGATTTACCTTTCTCACACCTGACCTTCCTATCCTTAAAGGTGTTGGTCAGGTTCATTATTTATTAAAGGGAACAGCTTCTCTCCTGGCCTCAAACCCCTCTGCTCTTGAATTCAAATTCTGCACATAGCTTCTAGCTTCGACTTCTGGTCAAACGTGAAGCTTCGTATTTCTACGAAGGGGTACTCAGAATATCGGGGAATACTTTACAAACACGACATACTTCAGTGGAATTGTCAACAGTTGCTTTAAAGACTGTGATGTATTTTGAAGGGTTTTCTCAGAGGGACATCCAACCTCACCATTTCAGTAGCCAGTTTCGTGAGACTTGGTCACGCACGAGTGTTGTCATTCTCCACCGATTGTGATTCTGCGAAGGTGGCCTCCCCGTGTCTTCTCACAGTCACCCAGTTATATTACTATTCAGGGCATGCAGAAGCCCAGAGTAACTGAAACTTTTTGTATTATGTCATGGGACAAATAAAATGCACAAACAAGAACCCCTCATCTGTATGATTTTATGTCCAATCATACGTGTTTGGAGATGATGAAGTCTTAGGTGAGCTTGAGCTAATTATACAGGTAGTTTCTACAAAGTCACTTACCTATTGCTCTGCCTCAACGCACCTCAACACAAAGGGGCTTCGACAGCCGCTATCCTTCATGACGGAGCTGGTTGGCACCGGGACCCAGGCCTGGAGGGGCTGGGCTCACACTCCCTTTCCAGTGCACTGCGGCCCACCAGTCCTGTGTGGCCGCCCCGAGCAGGGGTGGCCAGGTGTCTGGCCGCAGAGCCTTATTCTCGAGGAGGCCAGGTCGTCAGGTAGGGATGCTCCGGTGGGCAAGCAGGACTGACACCGGGCTTCCCATGGCCCAGACCTGTGAGTCACTCCCTGACCTTCCCCTGGGCTCTGCTGGTCGATGCTAATCACCGGGCTGGCCTAAAGTGCAGGGGTGAAGAAGCCGGTTCGAGCTCTCCATGAGAGGGGCCACTCTGAGACCCAACCCCTTTAACTTACGGATCTGTGGGCACGTCCGCATTCAGTGTGCGCACCTATGTGTGTGTGCGCAGACCCAAGAGCATATTTCTATACAAAATCCCGTCCCTGTTTCATAAAGAGCGTGCTCTTCTTACCAGCATTGTCTCCAGAGATTTTCCAGGGCCACGTTTCCGTAATAACTGCCCCTCCCTCACCGCACAGAGAGGAGTTGTATTTACCGGGCTGAGCCCCTCCCAGCTTTCCCGCCAGGACAAACCGTGACGTGCAGTATTGTGTGAAGCGTAGAGGGCGGGGCCCCCCGGCCTCTGGGCTTCACCCCCATGGTACCAAGCTGCCTTCTCTTCCCTGAAAATATCTGAACTGCTCTGTTGCAGGGATTAACCAAAGTGCTGATAATTTACACATCTTTCTCCTGGTGTGTGGACTTCGGCAAGTGAAGGACCCTCTCTACCTGGTGGATGCCTTCTCAGGTACGTTTGGTTTACGGAGTCCCATTTGGGGGTCCAGCCTTCACGTTTCTCTCTTTGGGGTTTTGAGTTTTGTCGTCTCTGTCTTTCCACATGAGCGGAATGGCTTCTAGATTGTTACTGTGGAAACAACCAGAAAAGGAATCACACTGCGTAGGGACCTCACTTGCTCCAGCTTTCCTGTGCCCTCGGTGTCTGAGCACATCATACAAATAGTGAGCAGTTGCAAGAATAATGTAATTTCACCCAAAAATATGTTACACACGTCGATTTGTACGATGCGTTTGGTGTATCCAAAGTCCACGTTGGCTTCCGCAGTGATTACTCCTGGAAGTCCAGCTGGTGGGGGGTGTGGACCCCGCGAGAAGAGCATTTTATGTAAAAGCACACAGTGCTCAATATTTACATTTCAAATATTGTGAGCATATTTGGTTTGCGAGCATAATTGGTTCCGGGAACATGTTTGTAATCCAGAGCACTTGTATATCAAAGCGAATTTCCCCATAAGCAGTAATGGAAACTCAGATGATGTGTTTTAAAACCCAAACATATTCATAGAAAAGTGATCACAATACTGTGATATAACATAAAGTAATAAAGAAAATACAAAATATAAAGAAAAACAAAAAATTAGCCTGCACTTACCTTTGAAAACCTTCATGGCTGATGTAAGGGAAATGACAGAGGAGGGTTACTGGGTAGGACGACTTTCATGATCACTAACGGAATCACTGCTGTCTCTTGGTTCCATGGAACCTTTTCCTTGCATGGGGGCCACTGTATACACTCGCACGGATGTTGACTACAGCACAGTATTCATAATGTCTTGTTGTATACTGTATGCAATGTAACCGGCAATGAGGCAGCAGAGGAAAGGGTCCGTACCTGCAGAAGCCTGACCTAGAAGGAAGCAAAGCCTTCCTAAGCTCACTCTTGTCTGGAAAAGGAAAGGACTGTCCATAGATGTTTTGAAGTGACAGAAAATACACCAATGCCAGTTGTGGGCACCTTCCAGTGTCTCGCAAAATCACTGATTTCTGCCAGACACTGCGGCCTGAGACATCTGAGCATATGGGAGACGATCACCCACAATCCCGCAGAGAGAGAGAGAGAGAAGAACCATTGGCTCATTGTGGTCATGTGACATTGACCATCAAATACAACTCATATTGCAAGACATGGCTTGTTTCTCAAGTTAAAATGTATTAGAAATGTTTGCTCGTCTTGCGGGACACACACAGAACAAGTCACTCACAACCCAAGGCTTTATGTTACACACAATTTCACTGTATGAATGAGAGTAAAATAATATGAAATAACTTAATATGATCACATACTTAATGTTAACCTTAACTACGTTTTCAGCTGTGATGTAAAACCATTAACATTCTTTCTTCTCTTTTGCTTCCCAAGCGTGGCACCGAGAAGAGCCTCACGTTTACATGGTGATCGTCGGCCCAGAAGTAAGTTGACACGCCGCACGCGTGGCTCACGTATCTGCTCTCTTCTTTCTACTTCTTACGGACTTTCTAAAATCAGCTGACGTTCCTTTCCCAGCCAAGTTATTTTTTCCTTTTTAAATCGCCAAAGTCTGCCCTTTTAAAAATGAAAACTGCACCAAGATTACGAGGCTTTGTACATCTTCACGGCTAAGTTATTGCTCCAAAGGCCAGGTTAGTACGCAAGTGGGGGGGAGTCACGTAAGGACAAAGTCCCCTGAAGAGAAAGTCTAAGCCGGTGCATAAGGCGCCTCGTGTGCAGTCCACGTGATCTCTGAAGTCCCCAAAACTGCACGACAAACCAACGCAGCACTGTTGCTCCAGCCGAGCAGCAGATTAAGTCGCTGACTTACACGTAGGAGCCAAGTGGCTCAGAAAACGGCTGTCTGTAAGCATGAGAAGCCCCCTCTGCCCGGGGAGACGCCCTCAGCCGCCTGCGGCCACCATTCAGGAAGCGCAGGCCGGCGGAAGGCACCGGGGACCCTGCCTCTCGTCCCACGGGCCTCCAGGGGGTCCGCTTGTCCCCCGCACAAAGACGCAGGTCAGGCAGGTGCTGCTCTGTTCCATGCGCAGGTCTGAGCACCCAGGATTCAGAGGCTCTGGGAGACACATCTCCTGAGAACGAACCTTGATTTCCTCCAAGCAGCTTAGAAAATGAAGCTTGCTTTGTTTCCAGCAGGGGCGTGTGTGTGTGTGTGTGTGTGTGTGTGTGAGAGAGAGAGAGAGAGAGAGACGCTGTAGGAGCAGCTCCTGTCCTCCAGGGGGCGTCTGTGTCAGGGTGGCAGATGGCACCCTCCTTGGGAATGGCATAGCCCACTTTCTTGTCCCGTGTGCCATTATGCGATGGGGGCGCCCCTGAGAACTTGCGTGGGTGTGGATTCCCACGCAACGCAGAGTTGTTTATTATGATTTAAATTTTTTTTAATGCTTATTTATTTTTGAGAGAGAGAGAGAGGGAGACACGGGATCCAGAGCAGGTCCCAGGATCAAAAGCAGCTGTCAGCACAGAGCCCGAACGGGGCTCAAACCCACAAACCCGAGCCAGAGTTGGACGCTTAACCGACTGAGCCACCTGGGCACCCCTTTTATGATGATTATTTTAATTCTCCTTCCTTCTTTCTGTTTGAAGAGCATGATTGGAAGAGAAAGTTTTAGTTTGATGCTAAAATCCCTGCTAACTGAGAGCGAGGGCCTCAGGCTTAGACAGAATTTTGTGACGTGGCTTTTGTTTTCCACTGTTTCCATTTTCATGGCTACATTCTATTCATGGCGCGTGATCCTGGCTTTCCAACTATGAACACTTTCTTTAAAAATAAATGGAATCGGCTTCAAAAAAAGTATTAAATCAGCAGCAGTACAGATGGTATGCAGATAGGACAGATTATGAAAATGCACGCAAATGGCCGAAGTTGGGAGAGCAGTTGTTACAAAGTGCTCGCGTCCGGGGAGGAAGAAATGTGGGAAAGCAGGCTTGCTGAGCAAAAACGTTTGCCTGCGCCAAACAGAGGACCCCCCACCCCCAGCGGACTTTCTGTTCCGCGTTCCCTGTAAGCACACCTGTCGGGACGTGACCTGCTCGGAAACACACCTAAAGCACCAGATGCAGGACGAAACCCTTTCCCAGGGAAGTAGTGACCGGGAGACACAGCAGCTGGTGCAGCGGCCAGAGGGGGGTGGTCCTTTCCCGCGTCACCCTGGGATCTTCCCCTCCAGCCCTGTCACCTCCGGGTGCCGCTTGCTTCTTGAGGCTTCTCAATCCAAAGCCTTGTAGGTGAGACACGGCCATTACTTTGTCGTCTGTCCCGAGCAATCCCCAGTGTTTCTCGGTTCCCAGAGGATAGATGTCTTTTCTACCATTTGCTTTCAGAACACATCCCTTTCCTCAAGCTTTTGCCTGTCTACTTTTGAAAGAACAGTGCACATTCAGAAATGGGTCTCTTTCCCCCTGATTTCAGTGCATAGAAAGTTGTGCCCTGGGCTCGGGCGGGGGACGGGACAGCAGACGAGGGGCCGGGGGATCGAGAGGGCAGTAGTGCACGATTTTGCACCCAGACCAGCAGGCCCACTGAGGACTCCCCAGAGGAGCCGCGGGGAGATGTGTGTGTGAAGCGTCCGTATTTTTAGGTGGGAGCTGGGAAGTAACTAAACACACCCGTGTGTACACGCACACGCACGTACACGCACACAGGCCCTACAGCTTGCATCTTTGTAGTTTCTTTTTATCTCTTTAACTCCTGGAAGGAGGTGATGCTAAGTGGTATTGACCAAAGGCTGTGATGACTGCCTCGTGATGAGCTGATTGGGACCCGGCGGTGCTTTGGAGCCGGGTGAGGTGAAGCGGGTCCACAATGACGCTGGAGGGTGTGTCCCCGGAAGCCGCCATGATTCCCTAACTTCCAGGGGCCCCTCCGCTTTTTCCAAGCCAGCCTATAAACCTACGATACCCGAGGACAGGTGCTTGCTTAGCGAACGCAGATCTGAGACGAGCCCCCCAAAGACCCCCACTGACTGGACCACCTACCGGAGCCCCCGAGGACCGTCTGGTGCACTGGTAGCCAGCACGTTGGTCTGCTTGCATGCAGAACCCAAAGTGCCGACAGGGGAGGGGAGCTAGGAAGGGGAGCACTTCAGTAGGGGTCTCGGGACCCTCCGGGAAGGTTTAGGACCTGAGACTTACTAGCCCTCTAGCTCATTGCCACGAATCACTCATGATTCTAAAGCGCTGCTTCCACAAGACACCTCCCTGCAGCAAATGGGGAAACACGCCCATTGGTAAAGTTTACTGCTCAGCAAACACAGGAACCAGCACAGGGACCTGGAGCTTTGCTAGGGTTCGCCCGCCTCCCCTCCACCACTGAGGGAGAATACGTCTTTCAGACCCAAGTCCGCTTTGGGCAACGCAGCGCTGCACCCTGGCGAGGGCCTGCGTGCAGAAGCGACGGCTTTGGGTCTCACCAGTTTGTATCTGTCTCGGTCCCTTTGGGCGGCTGGGACAGAATCCCACGGGCGAGATGGCGAACCAGCACACGAATTTATTTCTCAGGGTCGTGGAGGCTGGAAGTCTGAGATGAGGGTGCCAGCACGGTGGGGTTCCGGTGCGACCCCTTTCTCCCTGTGTCCTCACGTCAGGGAAGGGGACAGGGAGGGTCTCCAGGGTCGTTCTCGAGACCTGATCCCTCTGGGTAAGACTGATCCTATTCCCGAGGGTTCCACCATCTTGACCCACTCACCTCCCCAAGTCCTTGTCTCCTGACACCATCGTCTTTGAGAGTCAGGATTTCAGTGTATGAATTTGGGGGGCGGGGACACAACACCGATGCCATAGCAATATATCCTTTTCATAGAATGTCTTCATCAAATCTAAGGGAAAACAAAAGCCACCACCACAACCTTGATGTCAGACAGAATAATTTGAGCTTCTAAATAAGGCAGTGTTGAATCCAGTGAGTCACAAACTCATAGAGACAGGTTGTCTTCTCTGTCCCACAAAAGACATAAAACTGATACATCTAGATACACATCCCAGAGCCCCCGGTAACTCACACGGGCTAGCGTCTTGCTCGTTTGTTTGCTCCATGACCATAACTGGGGGGGGGGGGGGGTGCTGGTAAGTGTTCAACAACACAACTAGTTCTGTCTGAAAGCCCGACTGGCCTATTTCCATGGTGTAGAAGCTTCTCACAGGCCAGTTTCAACATATAGGAGGAGATGACTCTAAAGAGAGTTGAGATGTGTGTGTGTGTGTGTGTGTGTGGCTGGCGTGGGCAGGTGCAACCAACCCAGCGCGAGGTACCCAGTGCCCTGCTAACATGTGTGTGAACACACACACACAGGCAGGCACACACACACAAACACACAGGCACACGCACCAGAAACAAGCTTTCCTAGACAAAGGCTTCCATGGCTTCATTCAGTTCTGTTCTCTGGTCCTTTTTAAAAGACTGCTCTGCACCATCCGTCGCTATGTGACGCTCTTCTAGTCCATGTCATTTTTAAAAAGCTTGTTTTTACCCCCAAATCGATTTCGTGATTTGTTCCCTGACCTGAAGTGTGAACGTCACTGACTCAGCCATGCTGGATGGCATGTGTGAGTGAGAGTCCCGCGAAACATGCGCCTCCATGGCTGGCATGCTGGTGGCTCCTGCCTGCCCAGATGCCGCCTGGCCCCGCGGGGACCCGACCCAAGACTTCCTAACATCCGTCAGCTCTCACGGCCAGGGATCCAATCTAACGTCACTCGTGAGCACAGGCGGGGATTCCAAGTTTCTGCTTGAATTCGAGTCCTTGCTACTAGATCAGTGGGTCAATATGCTGATGATTCGGAAAGGGATTGAGAAATAAGTCAGAGGTCAAACCTTGGGATGCACCGAAACTCACGCTTTAACGACTGCGTCATGTGCAAGATCGACCACCCTGAATATTACCGTTATTTTCAGCGTCTGATGTCAGTCTGGTCCTCCTCACTCCGTCCCCTCCTTTGATAGCCGCCAAGCTCAGTGACTGAATAAACTCTTCAGGTACAAAGTACACACTTCGGGGGGTGGGGAGCATAGCTTTTCCAGTCCCGTGCAGGATCTCTCGGTGTCAAAGTGCACTGACCCGGTTAGCTGAGGGGTCTCGGACAGCGCACCGTCTGTCATTAGGGACTCAGCGAGGTTCAGGCAGCAGAGTCCCTCTCATCCGGTCTGCACGGAGCCCGGCACATGGAGGCCCAAGTGCAGAAGACAGTGCTGCCAGCCAGGGCCCCTCGGCTGTAAGCTCAGACCAACCCCCGGCAGATGCGGCTTATCGGAAGACGATAAGAGCCACCAAGAGAAGCATCGGGAGGCTGGGGACCAGGCTGGGTTTAGGCAGGAGCCCAGAAGCTCCAGGGGCCTGGGGAGCCTCCGCCGGGGATGATCCACACAAGGTGCTCTACCTGGTGTGTGTGTGGGGGGGTGAGCTCAATCCACTTCTTATTCTCC